TCGGGCCCTCGGCGCAGGTGGTGGAACCGGGGCCAGATGATGTGCTCCAACACCCTCCGGAAGGCTGTTTCGCGGTGCACATTTTGTCTGTGGAGCTGGGCCTTCGGTTCCCACTTCATCCCTTTGTTTTGGAGTATCTGCGCTTCGTCAAGCTCGCTCCCTGCCAGATCACCCCAAACAGCCATTCTTACTTGGCAGGCTTCCTGTCGTTATGCCGGGAGAGGGGAGTGGAGGCCTCGCTGGATTAGTTTCTCCTTTCATTCAACCTTTGCCGGGGGGGGGGGGGGGGGGGGGGGGCACGCCAATAGTGAGGGCTTTGCCAATCTTCAACAGGTTCCAGAGTGGAGGCTGTTCTCTGAGGTTCCTTCCTCTCACAAAGGGTGGAAGGACAAGTTTTGCTTCATTCGGATGGGGGAGAATCCTTTCCCTGCTCCCCTCCGCGACAACTTCAAGAGGCATCCGAAAGTGGGGAATGCTTTCCTTGCGAAGGAGGGGAAGAAGCTGGTAGCCAAGCCGGAGGGCTCGGACAAGCAGAAGACCATCAAGGATGCCACTCTTCCGGAGGAGCTGCTTCGCCTGGGTTTCCGGCGATTCCGGCTGATGGGGGAGACCGGTGACGAGTACCCTCTGATAGATAGGGTGTATGAGAGTGCGGGAGGTGATTGCCGAAGGCTCCTAGTCTTGTACTTAGGATACCTTTGTGTTTTTTTTTAACGTGTAACTAATCTTCGTATGTTTTCCTTCTTTTTCAGGTGCAGAGATGGATGCGAAGAATTTCGCAAAGCTCAAGAAGCAATTGGCTAAGGAGCCGAAGAAAAAGAAGAATGCGGAGGGGTCCTCCCAGCAGAGGCCCGTCGAAGATTTCTTCTAGAGGGAAGGAGCTGTGAAGGACCAGGGGGCCGAGGGGGCCTCCCAAGTTGCTGTCGAGGGTGCTGGCGCCCTGAGGACCGAAGCGGCAAAAAGAAAGGCGTCGGGAAAAAGCAATGTAGCTCCCGGCAAAAGACCCAAGAAGATCGTCGGTGCGAAGGACGCTCCTCTGGTCATCTCCGAAGGACACTCTTCTTCGGGGACCCCCCTGGTGGTGGTGACTGTTCCTGTACCTCTTCCGGATCAGATGGAAGATGGGCCTTGGCCCCGGGAGAACATCCAATTCTCCATCAAGAAAGGGACTGTCATCATGCATGGCACCCTGGATCCGATGGATCCTGAACGGGACCACTCCTTCACTGGATAGATCGACCCTCGGCCGGCATGACGACCCGCCCTGGACGCTAAGCTTCTCCAGGCCTCGGTGACTGTAAGTCTCACCATTTTTCTTCCCTTAGTTGTTTAGTCTTTCCATGGTGTAGTGGTCTGACCCTCTGCTTTTTCTTTGTATGTCCGCAGGCTAGTGTAGTCCTCGGAGAACATATCCGAAGGGTGGAACAGTTGCGCCTTCAGAAGGCGGAGTCCGACGAGGCTTTGAGGAAGCTCGTTGCGACTAACATCGAGGCCATCCGGAAGATGGCGACCTTGGAGGAGACCCTCCGAAAGATGGAGCAGAAGTTGGAGGATGCCCGGAGGGAGGGTAAAGCCGAGGGTAAAGCGGAGGCAGAGGAGCTCGCCGCTGCTGATATGGCCGAGGAGGCGAGGAAAGAGGCCGTCGCTCAAGCCGAGAAAGATGCCGTCGATGCCTTTGTCGCCGGAGGCTGGAAGGATGAGAACCGGAAGCAATGGGTGGCTTCGGTCATCGAGGCTTCAGTAGATGGGTAGGCGAAGGGCCCCGGAGCGCTATGGCTTGCTTTGAAAGGGAAGAATTATTACGAAGGCGGCGAGTATTTTACTGAAGCCATGATCTATCGGAAGCTTGCCCGGCACTTCGGCGTGGACCAAAAGGACTTCAACCCCGAAACCTACGGCCTCCCCCCACTTCAGCCAGATGTCCGGATTCCCCTGCCCGAAGGCGAGGAAAGAGAGTTGCTCGAAGATTCCGAGCTGGCGAAGGAGGCTGGTGATGACGATGACGATGAAGAGGGCAGGGAAGACGTCGCCTCAAAGCTAAAGGAGGACGGGGCTGCAAGTGTTCAAGCTTGAAATTCTTCTAAGTACCATTTGTAATAACTTGTAGACTTCGACTTCGGCCAATTGTAAACAAACATCTTTTGTACTTAGTATATTTATGGTGATTAATGTTTTGCCTTCGGGCTTTTTCTGAATGAATGCTTCCTGCATTTGATTTGTGTTTACCTTCGCTTCCTTTCGTTTGTATGCTTTCCTTCCTTTGATGAATTGAATGAATGTTTGCTTGAAGGCCACAAGTTTGTGGACTTAGGAATTTTCCTAAGTAAAACCTTGCAGAGAGCCTCCGGTTGTAGTGTAGGACAGCCGGGGGCTTGAAGCTGTGGACTTAGAAAACTTTCTAAGTGAAGACTCTCTCCAAAGCCTTCGGTTGTAGAGTATGTCAGCTGGGGGCTCGTGTTTCTAGACTTAGAAAATTTCCTAAGTAAGAAACTCTACAACGAGCCTTCGGTTGAAGTCGTAACCAACCGGGGGCTTGTAGTTGTGGACTTAGAGATTTTTCTAAGTGAGAATCCGCTGCATGCCTTCGGCAATGAAACGTCGGAATTGCCTCCTGGGTCATAGTAGCTGGACCGAGGGCTAGAATGAATTAAACTTAGGAAGCTTTCCGAGCTAATTTCATCCAAGGCCGCCGGCGGGATCGAGCCTTCGGCTGTAGTGTAGCTTCAGTGTAGTTTTAGGTCCTTGTTAAATAGTTTGAAGTTTCCTTCGGTTGTAAGCCTGTTGGTAGTGTTGGAGTGCATGTCTTCCCACCGAAGGGTTCCCATTTGTGGACTTGGTCAAATTTCCACGAAGTTTCAATAGATGTGTTAGTGAACCTTCGGGGGTGAGGATACCTTGGGCCTCCGGTCCATTTAGCTGCCGGGGGGTCCAAGCTCATGGACTTAGTGAAATTCTGAGATTTGTCTCCAATAGATCTTGTGCGTAGCCCCCGGGAGGGGGCAGCTCAAGATGGCTGGTGCGGATGAGAAAAAAGAGGAAGTCTCCTAGGGACAAAAACTACAACCCCATGACCCCCATCACCTAAATTATTTTGGGTTGATCGTTTCTAAATTAATGTTATAACTAAATCTTTTAATTAAATTTTGGTACATGTTTATGTTTTTTATATTCCATCATTTTTTAATGTTTACATGTTTACATTTTCACCATTTTGTTAAATAAATTGTTTCCTCCACCTTTTTCTCTCCTACGGTTTCTTAATTAATTAATGTGTTATACTCCCTCCGTCCCCTTTTAAATGTCCCGTTTTACCATATTGGGATGTCCCTATTTAATTGACCCATACCTTATTTGGTAAACTTTGTGTGGCTCAAAATCATTCTTACTTGGGTTTTTTACTTGAATATTACTAATTTTGAACCAATTATCCAAAAAGTGACTACTTTTAAAAAGGGGCAAAAAAGTGATCAAGAAGATCATATATGTAGAATTAGAAAACATGATGTCACTACAACACCGCCCGTGTCACTGTAGCCACCGCCCGTGTCACTGTAGCCACCGTTCGTGTCACTGTAGCCACCGCACGTGTCACTGTAGCCACCGTTCGTGTCACTGTAGCCACCGCTCGTGTCACTGTACCCACCGCACGTGTCACTGTAGCCACCGCTCGTGTCACTTTGTTCGTTTTTTGTAACTAGAGTTGTCAAATTTTTTCACGCCAATTACACCGCCACCGTCACCGCCACACTAACACCGTCATAGTGCCGCCGCCGCCGCCGTAGTGATGCCTTCAAAGTGACGCCGCCATAGCGACGCCTTCAAAGTGACACCGCCACACCGTCCACCGCCAGTCACTGCCACCACCGGCCACCACCGGCTAGCTGTGATGACATTGCCATAGTGACACCAAAACAGTGACACCACCGCCACCCAGAGACCGTCGCCGGTCACAGTGACACCACCACAGTGACACTAGTGACATCGAAACAGTGACACCACCGCAGTGACACCACCGCCGGCCGGAGACCGTCGCCGGTCACAGTGACACCACCACAGTGACGGTAACCAAAGTGACACCGGTACAGCCAGCCGATCAGTGACATAGGTTATAGTTTTCAGCCAAATCTGCCCGCCATTGGCAACACCACCCCGCCGCCGCCGCCCCACCGCCGCCGCCATCATACACAGCCCTCCCCCTCCCTAGCCCATGCCCCAGCACCCCAAACCCACACCCCTCTTCTGTCCACAACCCAGCTCCGACCAGCCCCAATATAGCCCAGACCAGACCCCAACAGCCCCGATCTAGCCCTAACCAGCCCCGATCTAGCCCAGACCGGACCCTAGCCGCCTAGATCTAGCCGTGACCAGCCCGATCTAGCCAGGACCGGACCCTAACCGCCCAGATCTAGCCCCGAGCAGCTCCGATCTAGTGTTGAACAGACCCCAATAGCCCCGATCTAGCGCCGTCCCTAGCTTCTGCACACCTGAAACGGCGGTGGAGCTGCCCCTGGAAACCGCCGCTTCCTCGAAAGCCCAATCGCCACCCTAACGATTTTGCACCGCCACCGACCCTCAACCGGAAAATCTAGATGCCCGTACGAAGAAAAGGACGACGGCAGAGACCAAACAGAAGAAAGGAGAAGAAGAAGATCAAAGGATTGCAGTCGACGAAAACTGCGGCGACCGGACCAGGCGGCGGAGACCGGAGCGAAAGAGGCGAGGAGTCAACGACCTTCCTTGTGCGAAGGTCCTTCCTGGGGTTCGTGTTGCGCCGAAGCAGAAATGAAGAAACGGATGTGAAGCGAAGGGGGTTTTAGAAGAAGAATTATACGGTGGTCACTTTTTGGTCAAAACACAATTCGGTTATATTTTTTTCTAATAAAAGCTGGGAGGTGATATGCGTGCCATTATTTCTTACTTTATCAATTAATATCAACCACACAAACTCACTTTTCTTAAAACCCGTGCCACCATCTCCCATCCCATTTAAAAGGGGACGGAGGGAGTATTTAATTGTTTTAATTAAATTGGATTAACCAATAAGAATAAGACACATAAATATATCGATGCAAAATGCACACGTCTTTGATCTATCCAAACTGGTGAAGCAATCGGAGCGGGGGAATCCATGGATGGGACGAAGTCCTCAACACTCCGCTGGCAAATCCTTCGCCGCGCGCTTCTTCGTCGCCCAGGTTCTTTCACAAACACAGACTTGTGTGTACCATAATATGCTGTGCTTAACCGAGTTCTTCACAGATAACCGATCCGACATGGCCATTGAACAAATATCAAGAAAGGCGACTCGTGGTTTCAATTTGATTCCCTGCAGTTTAGTGGAAGAAATTTCTGATTCTCTCTTACGAAAAGACGCATTGGGCAGCTCTGCTCTTTTCTGTTACACATTGCCCCTTCCCAAATCTCCCCAACTTACTCTGCAGTAAGTCTGCAAGTCAAATTCTGACGTTTGAGTCGTTATTCATAGCTATTGGCTTATTGCCTTGTTAGCCTTCATATTCACATCTTTGTTATATTGCTTCTCTGTTGTCCTTTTGGTAATTTAATTTTCACTTGTACGTATTTTAACTCAGGAGTTCCGGCTTCTTCTTCAAGGCCGGTTTATGATTTGATAGATCAGAGTACTAGTTCTGTAAATTCAAAAGAGCTACGAGTATATTTCTAATTCTAAAAATAGTACGGAGTATTAAAAACATTTTATTTTCCTTTTGCCATGGAGGGATTTTGGACTTTGGAGTGCATTGTATTAATAAAGGAACGCTAAAAACTTACAAAGGACTTGGTGTTACTTGTATTTTGTCTCTTTTATATTCTTAATTAAAGAGGTTGTATGCTTTCCCTTTATTCAATTCATTCTAATATGAATTAGAAGCCTAAAATAGTCAAACTATAAGTTCATTAGCCAGGAATGGGCACTTCAGAACCCTCTTTGTTTTGAAAATGTACAATCTTTGACGAATGATTATATACTTTACCATTTCTGTTTATGACTTGCATAAAAAAGCATCATTTTTTAGTGTTCGAAATGGAATTGAAGGTGTGGATCTGCTTTTCTGGATATGTTCAGTAGTTCTTGTTTAGCAATGCTGGTTTCTGACTTTTGGATCCGCGATGCAGCCAAAGAGTGAATGGTATTGTGGATCTCAGTGACTTTGAGGTCTGTAATAGATATAATATTGACAACACCGGGCTTGTTTGTAAGTGTCTTACTTTTACAACCAGAAAATCATTAATTTCTCTGACAAATGCAAACATTTTAATTTTACTCCATGAATAATATTTTCTTTCTTCTTTGACATGTCGCTTTATTGAACAATTAATAAAAAGTAAAATAAGAAACGTTTTGGGATATTAGGACTTGCTATTCTCTGATACATGGAATAGCTAATTACATGGACAATGCAGTTGAGTGTTGCTTTAAAGTGAAACAAGTGGAGCCGTGCTGTCTCACATAAACCATCACTTTACTAAAATAGGGATCAAGTCCTCTCTCAGCACCAAAAGAGATTCAAAACAATATACTACGTAATATATTTCAAACAGAGAGTCCAGATTGATCATCTGAAACTAATTTTTCATATTTTATTTCTAAAAATGAATTATGAGGTGTACTACTAATATGCTTCTGAACCGCACTATTCAAATTAATTCACAATCAGAGAAGTGATACAAAGATTCCCAGTATGATTTATAATACGATAATTATGGGTGCTGTATGTACAGAAGTAGTGAAGCCTTTGGCAGCCACATATTTTTATCCAAAGACACACCAAATAGTTTTTTTTTTTTAATTTTTAATTTGGAGTTTTGTGGTTGATATGATGAAGTCTGCCAAGGAACTTTTCTTTATTTAGAGAGCTTGCAAGGAGGGGGGGGGGGGTCTATATTGAGTTTCTTAGGAACAGCAACCTCACTTCTCATGGTCACTTCAGATTAAAAAATTCAAGACTCTTGGAGGGGGTTGAGTCTCAACTCTAGTGCATAGCTGAAACACAAGTGTTCATCTCATGCAATTTCAAATTTATTGTTTTTTTACGTACCAGTTTCAATGTTTCATATCCTTTTTTCTTTAAAAAACAAGTGTATGGGATACTAGTGCCAAAGAGTGGTCATATTGATGGTATATTTACCTATTGTTGGATAGGTCAATGGCCGTCTGAGGATGTCCTTGCCTACTACTGCTTGTTACATGCTGACATGTTCAGGTTCTTAAACCGCTGAACATCATGTTATGATTCACATTTTCAAACATTTATCATTGTAAATTTTACTCCGCCAGTGTTTGCACTTGTCAACTCTTTTAGGGATAAAAGAGTCATTGAACTTGGAGCAGGATATGGCATAGCTGGCTTGGTTGTTGCAGTAGCCACAGATGCACTAGAAGTGGCAATCACTGATGGGAATCCTCAAGTTGTTGATTGTATCCTTTGTATCCGAATTACTGTGAGAGCAATGTTAGCTCCTACTTTTTAAGAGTAAAACAAGAGCCCAACTGTTACAACAATGAGGTTTATGATTACCAAACAAACTGTGAACACACAGATCCGTCGTGTCACCTATTTACTGGATAAAATCTAACCCTGAAATTATGGCTATTCATTTTGTTATCTACTAAAGCAGAGAATTTATGATTAATGAATATTCTAAACATTCAGATATACAACGTAATGTAAGCACCAATTCAGGCATGTTTGGCGGTACAGTGGTTAAGTCAATGATTCTACATTGGGGTCAGGAAAATGTACCGGATATCTCCAATACCTTTGATTTCATTATTGCAAGTGACTGGTAATTAACATTTAATTCTTCATTCTGTTTTACCCACGTCTTGTATTTGAACAATCTGCTTGAGGGAGTTGAGTGCATGTTGGATATTTGGATGTATTTTAGAAATGAGTAACTTGCTCTTTGTCCTCACCAGTTTTCATTGAGAATTATAAAAAAAAATGTTGATTATTTATTTTTAATTAATCACATTGAGTTGTTGCTGGTTAGGCATACAAATAGGAATACTGCATCTAAGTTTGAAAACTGTAACATGTTATTTTTACCTTTTCCTTTTAACGATTCAGTGAGCTGATAGCTTAAACCTCTTGAGCTTTGTATTTATATGTCAAACTAAAGCTTATTTACACAGTCTGAACTCTGAAATGTTAATTGCATCTCTTTATTTATCTGAGATGCTTGGACCTAATAGCCATTTCCGCTCTTTCCTATGTAACATATAATTGTACTGTTACCAAATCTCTGTTTTTTTTGCAGCACTTTCTTTAAGGAATTCCATGAAGCTCTGGCTGAAACCATAAAATCATTGCTAAAGAAAGACAGCCCCTCAGAAGCTCTACTTTTTTGCCCGAAAAGAGGTGATTCATTGGACAAGTTTCTCGGGAAAGTTATAGGCAGTGGATTGAATTTCACCATAGAAAACAATTATGACGCTGAAATTTGGAGGCGTCACCAGAGATTTCTATATGGTGATGAATCCTGGCCGAATTATGAGATGGATCACTGCTATCCTTTGCTGCTCAGAATAAGATGGTAAAAGGTCCAACTCATGGAGGGTGGAAATCCAGTAGATTTTTGTATTCCTCACATTTTTTCTGTACTTTGAAAATATTCATTTTAGAGTTGTTGGATGCTTTAGTCCTTCCAAGATGTTAGAAGTTTCATGTATTTATGGTTGAGCAGTTGAGCTTTATGCCTGGTCATGCTCCGTCTGCTGAAATGTTGAAGAAAGAGTTTTTTTCAAGAAAATAGGGGAAAACAGAACTTGTATTATGGCAGTGTTTGGAAAAAACGCATGTAGCATTTACTGCAATAAGATATTGTTTTACAGCCCCCATCCGGCCAGAGCAGCCTCCTTCTCAGTCCGCCTCAGCCCTGCATCCGGCCAGAGCAGCCTCCTTCTCAGTCCGCCGTAGCCCTGCATCCGGCCAGAGCAGCCTCCTTCTCAGTCCACCGCACCCCTGCATCCAGCCAGAGCAGCCTCCTTCTCAGTCCGCCGCAGGCCCCATCCGGCCAGAGCAGCCTGCTAGTGCACCCTGGTAAGTCATCGTTCCTGTCACAGTTCTGATTCTCCACCTCTTCTCCTTCTATTCGAACTGATGGGGCGATGAATCTGGGGAACTAATCGGAGTTTCTTCTGTCATGGAGATCAACGATGATTTCTATCAAAGATGTTTGGCCTATTGCGGTGGACGAGGCTAGTTGTCAATGCCCGTATATGATGCCTACCTACAAGCAGATCGGAGATTCTGGTCTGAGCGGCAACTCGCCGGCTAGGTTAGATGGAGGCGTGATTGGGACATGTTTTGGGGCTTGGAGGTGTGGTGTGGTGGAGGAATGTCGCACAGTTGCAGGGGCTGGGGGCGGTGATTGGTGCTCGCCGGAAAAACTGTGGCTGGAATAATAGTGTGTCACTTTGGGAGTTGTCACTGCGGAGATGTAACCGCTAAAATTGACATTTGACAAGGCATCAGTGACACGGGTGTGGGTGTCAGTGACACGTGCGGTGGCGATAGTGACATGGACAGTGGCGGCAATGACATGAGCGGTCAAAATGCTAAACATGGTCAAACCAGCTAAAAAATGTTTGATAGGCTCCTAACTAACCGCTCCCTCTCCCCCGATAGATGAATTTTTCCCTTTCAAATCTAGACCCTTTTCCTATTCTCGGGTCTCCCGCTGCTAACCGAACATGATAAATGAATATTGATTCCATTACATTACATTTTTATTGCATTACATATTCTATTCACTCCATTGCATTAGAAGACCAAACATAGCCGAAGTATCAAAATTTATAGCCCTATCTTACTCCTAAAAAACGGATTCCGGGAATCTTGAAAATTAAAACATTCTCAATTGGCCTAATTTAAGAGTAAACATTTTATTTAAGCAACGAAGATCAAGCTGGAGAAGGGGAAACTTTTAATAGAAAATACTCCGTATAAGGATTACATGAGAGTTGCTATCTATCTACATAGATGCAGAGAAACCCACACCAGAGGTGGCTAGAATTGTATACATGATAGAAAAAATCAGTAGACCTCGACGTTCCACTGCTCTCCCTTCTTCATTTGTTTCTTATACTCCACCCAATCAATTCCTGAATGGAAAAAATAGTCACTAATAACGTAACAGGACATGTAACAAGGATAGGATAGAAATGTTATTAGGAAATTTCCTGAAATAAGAGAAACCAAAGGGAAATTCTAATATGACAATTGTGTTCAGTGGCAGATCTTGCAACCGGAAGTTGGGTGTTCAAAAAATTTTCAAGGTTAAAATATTGCACGATAATATTTTTTTATCCCACAATTGAAGAAATGTAATTTTTTCAACAAAAAACTAGCAAAAAGGGTTAATGGTTAAATATTATATAAAAAATGCATTATATAAATTATTATATCAATTCTATAAATGTATTTTTACAATTTAGTTTCAAATGTTTGGATGTTCGCTTGACACCCTTGAACAAAGCACGTCCGCCCCTGGCTGTGTCCCCCTAAATAGGAGAAAAATATTCTCCGTAAAATCATATTGCCATATTTTGGCATTACCAAGCATTAAAATGGCCATACTAGTGCCAAAATTGACAATATTTTTCAAAACATGGCATTAATTACTTCTATTTAGGGAAACCATATAGTACTCATATTTTGAAACTTCTCATTATTTTACTCCTAAGGGACATTTCTGAATGTTTGTTGTATATAAAAGCTATAGTGGCAATAATTGAAGGAAAGTAATAATCACTTCATTTCTGCAAATGTTTACCATCTTTAGCAGCAAGTGAAGTCATGATGTCGTCGATTCCCTTTTCCATACCCTTCAGTCCACAGATGTAGACGAAAGTGTTGTCTTTCTTGAATAGTTCCCAGAGCTCTTCTGCATACTGTGCCATTCTGGTTTGGATGTACATTTTTTCACCTTTCTCGTTTGTTTGTTCTCTGCTCACAGCAAAGTCTAGTCTGAAATTTTCTGGACATTTCTCCTTCATTTTCTCAAATTCCTACAATAAAAAGTTGCAGAATGTGCTTTTCAGATTTTAAAACATAGATACAACAACATCCAAGCCTTATTCCCAAAAGATTTTGGGGTCAGTTTTAAAACATAGATACTTAATAATTATTACTACGTATAAAAAAAGAAAGAGTGAAAGACGGTCTTGACCCCACCCTGGCCCCTGTTTAGGTAGTGGAAATTACCTCCTTGTAAAGAAGTGAGCTGCTGGTGGGAACACCCAAGAAAAGCCACGCCAAGCCGTTGAACTGCATAGCCCCGCAGCCAATCAGGATGGTACAAAACTAAAGAAGTACTGAGTACTGATCATAAAGGGGTCAGCTGAGTAGACGACCTTAACATACTACATATCTATTTTATTTTATTCATTTCAATTTTTAAAATTTCGAAATGGTTTTCAAGGTTTTTCCTACTAAGTAACTAAAATAGAACTCATGGAAAACTAAGTGACTACAAGGTCACTATAGTTGCTCCGAAAATATAGCATATTCACTCTACCTTAAAATTGAACATCACTTGTAGTCACTAGAAGTCTAGAACTAATATGGTCATTGGTGCTAAAAGTCGAAATTCTGACAACTATTTTGTTTTGGGTCATATATTTGTCATTATTTCAATTTTTTCGCATAATTAGTATTTTACTGTCTGATCTAAGTCTTCGTTTCAGCAGACTTTAACGTTTCAATCAGCTTTTGATCGATGAAAAATATCAACTCCCTTTTGTTTGAGTGAAGAGACATATACTGTTGGTGGTCTACCTTATATTCTTCATGCTTCTCATAGAACATCTTCCACAAGAACCCACGGAAAGGGGCGATTCCAGTTCCAGTGGCAAGCTGTAAGGAGATACAAAATAAGCAAAAATCAAACATAACAATAATTTCCATTGTCAATTGATCCGGGGGTGTGTGGATCTACTTCTAGAAACTTATTCTGCTCGTGTAGAGAGCACTTAGAAACAGAACCAAATATTGGAGTCTTTGGATAAAGCTCCGAAATCATTTTTAACAACTCCAAGCTGCTCCTCTAGAATCAATTTTCAAGAAACCAGGGAAGACTAGCTAATCACAACATTTTATTGAATATGTAATCTTTTATTCACAAAAGATTACATATCAAGCATGCATGTGTGTGTAGTTCATATACCCTTTTGGTCCGTTTATACATGTGTGTGTTAAACAACAATTTATTCAAACACTCAAAGTTGATTCTCTCTTGCAACAAGAGAAGGAACATCAAACACTGAAAAAAGAATCACTTTTTCATACAGCTAAAGAGTCTGATTCTGCATTTAAAGAAAAACAGAAACATAATCAATGCTAAACATCCTCCGATAATAAAACTACTCAACAACAATGTGAATCTGGACATTGTAAGACATTATTGCTGCCACGTACCATTACAATAGTGGCATTGGGATCCTTGGGCATGAGCATCTCCTTCCCAACAGGTCCAGTAATTTTCACTTCAGACCCGGGTTTCAAGTCACCTGACATACCCGTCATAGAAAAACATTAAAAATGTTAAACCGCGATCTACTATCTTTGCCATACTATGCACCAAAGAGCATAATCAATTTCTTAGTTCTTACATAAAAAGTTCGAGCAAACTCCTTTAACTACTTCACCCTTGTCATTGGTATAGACAACCCTTTTAACACAAAGAGAGACCTGTGTAAAGAATGATAAGAACCTCCAGATTTCCAGACAAAATTAACAAAGATCAACGAAAACAGATGAACCTTTATTGATTACGAGAAAACAATTACAGAAGTAGAAGAGATAATTCTGGCCGAAGCCCCCAAAATGAGCCGAAGCCCCCCAAAGAAAGAGAAAGTTCTCGATCTTCCCAAAGTCCCAAAGTCAAAGTCTAAAACAGCCTACTCTACCTGCCCAAGCTTATTCTATTTATACTCAACTTGTACACTTATTATTATTTATACTCTATTGGGCCGGGTCCCTAACAAAGAATAATAAATTTCAAATCCATCCATTCCCATCATACAAAAGAAGAGCACATTTATAGACCTAGCATCCTTATGCATTGAAAAAATCCTTTCCTTTCATCCTATAATTTAGATCTTGTTCAGTTTTAGTTTCATTAAGTTTAACTTTGCCAATGTAACCCGCAATTCAAACGAAGTAGTTTTTTGTCCCAGATCTTGGACCTTGTCCAGTGTCAGTCCTATGAAGTTTAACTTTTACAACTTTAGTCCTAAAATTTAAACAAGGGCTCCCAATAATTGAAAATAACTATACACTACTTTAATATGCCAAACAGTTATGATTAAAAGAACTTAAGCTTACAGTCTTGGAGTCTCCAAAGTCGCCAAGAGCACTGCTGGCAATCGAGTATAACCTCAACTTGTGAGCCTTCCCATTTGCATCAACTCCATCGGCAATGACACCAATTGATTGTCCTTCCCTGTATGGGATTTCCCCTAACAAAACCAGGAACAGACATCAGCCAATGAATT